GTGATGGCCTATGACCGCTTTGTGGCCATCTGCAACCCTCTTCTATATATGGTCATCATGTCCCAGAAACTCTGTGTGGGCCTGGTTTCTGGCTGCTACCTATGTGGAACTGTGTGTTCTCTTATTCACATGTGTTTAGTTTTTGAAATACCATCCTATCATTCAAATGTGATTAACCACTTCCTATGTGATCTACCTCCTATCTTATCACTTGCCTGCTCTGATGTGTCTGTGAATGAACTGATCGTGTACATTGTAGCCACATTCAATGAGATCATCACCATTGTAGTCATTTTTACTTCCTACATGTTTATTCTCATCACCATCCTGAGGATGCGCTCTGCAGAGGGAAGGCGAAAAGCTTTTTCCACCTGTGCATCCCACTTCACAGCCATTGTTGTCTTCCATGGAACAATTCTTTTCAATTACTGTCGGCCCAACTCTGGCAACAGTCCAGACACAGACAAGGTAGCTGCGGTGTTCTACACTGTGGTGATTCCCATGCTGAACCCCCTGATTTACAGCCTGAGAAACAAGGATGTGAAACAAGCTCTCAGGAAAATGATGGGCCTCAAAATATTTGTTTAGAGGAAACTTTCTTAGCAGAACTCGTGTTTCCACAGTGGAAGGTGGTGGCTGAGTGGGTGAGTAGTGGGCTATCGTGTTAGATTAGTTAACTTCGTAAGGAACAAGGTGGTTTGGAATAATTGTTTTTGATTCATACATATCTGTGCTTTTCCAGTTAGCAAAAGGACTGGGTATATGAGTATTAAAAGAAAAATATAAGACTAACCCATTTATTTGCTCTTCTTTAATATATTAAAGACTGAATTAGATATTGGAGTCATACTGTTAAGAAATAGACATTTAATTTTCTGTAAAAACTTCAAAAACCTAATGAAAAATTCGTGACAATCTTTTTTGTATCCATAATTGAAACTATGATTCTCTTCAAAATTGAATCCTATTCCTATTGTTGTAGTTGCAAAATGTTAGTAATTACTTCCTAGGATTGTTAGTGAAATTATAGATAGGCAAAGAATCAATAGTACTGTGGTAGCTTGTATATTACTGTGATGCTGGAAAATATTCCACAAGTAATGAAAATACCAGCAAGGTGAGTCATCACACACAGGTTTTAATAATGTTTCAAGACTAAGATAGACTATAAAGAAAGGTCTAGCAATCTAATTCCAAAAATTAATCTATGGACATATGATTCACAGCAGAGCAATGTCTGACTCTTTTGTTGTGAATCATCAAGCCCACTGCCATCAAGTTGATTTCTACAGATAGTGACCCTATGGTGGTGGTAGTGGTTATGTGCTATGGAATCTATTCGAATCTAGCAACCTTATGTTGAGTTTCTGAGACTGTAACTGTTTGTGGGAGAAGAAAGCCTCATCTTTCTCCCTTGTACTTTCTGGTAGATTCAAACTGCTGATGTTGCAGTTAGCAGCTCAGTGAGGAACCAATTATACTGCCAAAGTCCTTTAGTAATGCTAGAGAACAGAGCAACAGTTCATAGGGTTTTCAAGATTGTTAATCTTTATGGAAGCTGACTGCTACATGAAGGAGCTGGTGGGTTTGAATAACTCGCATTTTGGTTGACAGCCAAACACTTTTAACATACTACTAGGGCTCCTGGACACATCCTCATGTGGTACCATTTACTACTGAGACTATTGAACAGTGTAAATATGAAATAATATAAATATAATTTAAGGAAAAGTAAGTGGTAACACTTACTTCTTTCACCATATTTATCCAACCTATATGCTGAGCAAATAATCTTAGCAGCTGTGTTGTATGAAGAAAAATATGGCATCAGGATTGGAGGAAGACTCAATAACAACATGTGATATGCAGATGATACAACCTTGCTTGCTGAAAGTGAAGAGGACTTAAAGTATTTACTGATGAAGATCAAAGAGCACAGCCTTCAGTATGGATTACATCTCAATGTCAACAAAACCAAAATCCTCACCATTGGATGAATAAACAAAAATCTTATCAATGAAGAAAAGATTGAAGTTGTCAAAGACTTCATTCTCCTTGGATCAACTAGCAACACTCATGGAAGTGTTATGCCCAGATTTTGGGGTCCCCAAAGACCACCAAGGAGCTGATACCGATTCAAAAACACAAGGGTTGTTTATTAAAGCTCAAGCTCGGACTCCATCCGCATCTGACACAGCAGACTAGGGATGGAGCCGATCCCGATCTCCTGGTTGGTGGGATTTTTATAGAGGTTACAAGCAGGCTCAGGGGTCTTCAGCTTAGCTACTCCAGGATTGGTTTACATTTCACAAGGTATGGAGTGTTACAGTCTGATTGGTCATTACTGGTAGCCTGAGCTGCTGGGTTAAGGTAAAGGAAGACATATATCATCGGGCCTTGAGTTGTTGGCTCCGCTTATCTACTCTTGCTGTTGCTAGGGGTGAAGGGCTATTCTAATGCAACACAAGCTGATTTGGCACATTCCTGGAGCAGTAGGATGGGTTCAGGCCAATGTACAAAATGGAGTCTTTTCTTTAGGTCTCACAGAAGCAGCAGTCAAGAAATCAAACGACGTAGTGCATTAGGCAAATGTGCTGCACAAGACCTTTTTAAAGTGTTGAAGAGCAAAGATGTCAGCTTGAGGACTAAGGTGCACCTGACCCAAGCCATAGTATTTTCAGTAATCTCATATGAATGTAAAAGCTGGATAGTGAAAAAGGAAGATGGTAGAAGAATTGATGCTTTTGAGTTATGGTGTTGGAGGAGAATATTGAAAGTGCCATGTTCTGTCAACAGAACCAACTGATCTGTTTTGCAAGAAGTGCAGCCAGAGTGCTCCTTGGAGGCCAAGATGGCCAAACTTTGTCTCTCATACTTCAGACATATTGTCATACTTCAGACATATTGTCAGGAGGGACCAGTCACTGGAGAAATATATCATGTTTGGTAAGGTGGAGGGTCAGAGAAAAAGAGGAAGACCCCCAATGAGATGGATTGGCCAGGTGGCAGCATCGATGGACTCAAGCGTGGCAACACTATATAGTGAAGTTGGCCCAGGATCAGGCAGTGTTTCTTTCTACTTTGCATAAGGTCACTATGAGTCGGTACTGACTCAATAGCACCTAACAGCAACAGCAAGTGGTAACACAGAAGACAGTCCAGAATGTGGTATAATTGTGAATTGTTAAAAAGATGTGAAGTCTATATGACTTAATGAAAACTATAGGATAAATTGGAATTGAAGATAAGAACTTGCTGTGATAGTAACAATTTCTCAGCATATCAGAGCATTGATGTATTGGCAACTAACTTTAAGATTCCTCATAATAGTGCTTTTAGACAGAGTAGCTACTTGTGGAGATGTTAAGATATGAAATGTCCAACTTTGGTAGTCCCATAGTTAATATATGTGAAGAGATGCTCTGTAGCTAACACCCATGACATGAGCATAATCACGTGGCCAGGGACCTGAATGCACCATCTCCCCACGTTTCCTCTATTGTTTTTTTTTTTTTTAATAAATGGTGAGTCAGTCCTGACCTACAGTGACTCGATTTGGGTTTTCAAAGAGCAGCTGGTGAGTTCAAACTACTGATCTTACAGCTAGCAGTGCAGTTATTATCCTATAGTCCCATACTAGTGTCATGCAAAACACTTCAGAAAAACACGCTGAGTAAATAAATATGAAGATAACTGCTGCTTTGATCTCCTGTTGCTGTTGTTAAGTGGCATTGAGTAGATTCCAACCCATAGCAACCCTGTATAGGGTTTCTGAGGAATGGTTGGTGAGCTTGAACCAACGACCTTGAGGTTCATAGCTATAACAAGTTTTGAGACTGTGTAAAAGATCAGGGAGTACAAAGAGACCACTTGTAAGCTTTTAGTTAAGTTTCTGTAAAATGATTTCAAAGCTGCAGCTCTTTCCCCACAGCTTCTGTAAGAAACCTAAATTGTTTTAGAAAACTGTAGATAATTTTAATTGCTTATCTTGAGGCCTCTAGGGACTAAAGTATTCTCTAGATTCATTGTATCATGGGGAATGGAAATAGATGCAAGAATCTTAGTATTTCCATAAAAAACTCCCCAGAGGCAGAAGGGGGACTTTCAACATATGCTTTATTTTCAGAATTTGAGAAAAATGTGGATATTCTCTTACTTATAAGATATCTTAGATTCAGAGAGTTTTAAGAAATATTCATTTGGGAAAATTTCTAGTCATAGCAAATATTTTGTATCTGCATTTTTTCAGTGATTAGCTAATTTAAGTCTTTCTACAAAGCTTTGAGCAGAGAACCTGACTTAGATAAGTACCTCAATAGAGTTCTCTTCAATCACTATTTTTGTGGAGTGAAAGAACAGAAAATTTTGAGAGTTTTTAGGAGTGTAGTTCTACCTTTTTCTGTGAATCCTTGCAAGAATGGTATAACAGAGAATATGTATCTACTATATAAAATTGAATTGTTGGTGTTGTTAAGTGCCATCAAGTTAGTTTCAACTCACAGTGACTCTGGATAGGGTTTCTGAGGAGTGGCTGGTGAGTTTTAACCATTGACATTGTGATTCAAACAGACCTTGTTGTCCTATGCATTGTCCTACAACACCACAAACGAAGAAAACGAACCTCATGGGAAGAACAACAAAATAAACAGAAGCAAATCTAAATAAGATTCGAGAGCATGGGAAAAGAAGCTGTCTCATGTGGCTTATTAGGATTACAACATAATAAACAAGCCAAGAAGAAGAAATGATGTGAAAGATTTTCAACATGACATTTTCTGGATTAAAAGATAATACATATTTTTTAGATAATGTAAAATGTAATTTGAGAGAAAATAACCTATGCTATTGGCTGCGAACCTTAAGGTCAGTGGTTCGAAACTACCAGCCGCTCCGCGGGAGAAAGATGAGGCTTTCTACTCCCGTAAGGATTTACACCCTTTTAAACCCTGTACAGGGTCGCTATGGGTCGGAACCGACTCGACGGCACTTAACAACAACAACAACATTAAGAATAGATATTGATTTTAAGTCGAATTGAGACAGCAGAAACATTATAATCTATCACTGTGAAGGAAACAGGCAACTAGTCTCAATCAAGTAAGAGTCAGTTTGTACTTGCACAAGGAGGATATTTGACAATGTCTGGAGACACTTGATTGCAGAAACTGAGTGAGGTAAGTAATATGGGAAGCTAATGAGAAGGAATCAGGGATGCTGTTAACATTGCACAATGCACTATAAAGCTCCCTGTAACAGTAAGCCAGCACAAAATATACTATTAATAAAACTTTTGAAACAGTGAAAATAATCTGGAAAAGATTGCCTTTGGATACTCCTTTAAATAGTTGAATATCTAAGTAGAATGCACTATTGAGGTTTGTAAGTGCTGCACACGATGTGAAACCTTTAGTGTTGGAACCTCTGTACCATATGTCTTGGGTTGCAGAACTAGAGATTAATTTATTCAGAAATGATAATCTGATAAATGATAAGAGATTGATTAAGGTACTCATAACATGTACCTTAAAACCCTACTAAAACAAGGAGTCCTGGTGTGGTGTCATAGAATAAGCAGTGGGCCACAATGT